AAAACTCCAAGTAGAGGGGGGTAAATTAAGACCACAAATAGTTTAAGGTTGTAACTCTCGCGCCCCCTTTTTTCCCTCCGCGGAGAGAGAGAAGTCCGGGTTTCGACATTATGGGGGTAATAACTCATTTTCTTTTGGGTATTTTTAAGAGTCGCCACCTAACGGATTATGGTGCGTTAGGGCACCTAGAGTGATTAACTCTTTGACTAGTTTGCATTACCAGAGATTTAGAGTAAGGGCTCGAAATAACCTTGAGAGGAAGGTGTTAGGCACCCTTCTTGGTCCATAACGGTGGGTCCCGACCGAACTTATACTTATGTGAATTAGACCTTTTGACCAATAAATAATTTTAATACGTTCTTGCAAATAAAGGCATGTTTTGGATATTGTGTTACTCAAGTAATGAGACAAAGAAAAGATTTGAACAAATTGCATGTACAGGGAAAAAGTAAAGTTTAAACATCGGGAAGAAGGGTCCTAGGTTTGTTAGTCTACCGGATCACCCCATGCAATGCTCGGTAATCACTCCTCAATGAGGGGCTACACGTGACATAAGTGCGTAGTCATCATATCCCCACTACCCAATTCCCCCTTGGTCATAGCCTAAAGCGCTCTAGCAACCTTGAAAATGTCCTATGTGTGCACTACCCGTCCCTTCCTCGTGGCCCTGGAGGTATTTTAGGACCTCTACTTTTGGACAGTTCTAGACCTTCCTAAGGTTTTAAAAGGATAAAAGTCTAGGCGTCAATCAAGAGCAATTAGGACTGCATTTGAAGAGAACAAATTAAAGGCTCACAGTCACCTCCACAAATATAACAAGTAAATGCACGTCTTCAGATAACAGTCAAGTATTTAAGAGAAAATCCTAAAACATGATATTTAGGTGAGCAGGGATTATACAATATTGAATCAGGACAAAGTGTAAAAATCCTATTTAGCTTGCCTACTGATTTAGACCTATTAAATCTGATCAGTTTTAAATAACAAAGCACAGTTTCATAGTTGCAGAATTTAAATCGCCTTAGAGGCTTGCCTAAGCGCATAACACCGATGTCCTGAAAGCATGGTATCTATATTGATTAGGAATACAGTAAAATAGTGAACAATTTTTAAAACAGACGACTTGAGATCCTATAGACATGTTTTCTAGCGGTATTAATTAAGGCACTGTTTGAGAAAAATGTATTGAAGAAACGGAGAGTTGATTAAACCAATTCAGAATGAACTAACATGAATTAAACCGAATTGTTTGACTAAAATGATTTTAAGTCCTATAGGCATGATTTCTATTAGAGCTAATTTTAATCCCTATAGGCATGGTATCTAGTTATTAAAGCTGGCTCTTGAACTTATAGGCATGATATCTATGAAGACGAATGTGAATACATGTTGTAGCAAAAAACTGAACTTTAATTACTTTATCTCTACATGCATGATATCTAATTATAAGGCTGATTTTAACCATATTGGCAAGATTTCTATTATTAGAGCCATTTAGATCCTATAAGCATGGTTTCTAATATCGTGGAAGTAAAGTAAACATAGCAAATGCATTAACACAATCCTATAGGCATGGTATCTATCCGATTTACCCAATATATATAATTGCCCACCCCCTTTTCACTCACCCCAACGTTGTTTACAAATAATTATTACAGATCAGCTGAATAAATTACATAAACAATTAAAGAAAAAGAAGAAGTTAACTATAGGGAGCCTGAAGCAGGCCAAATGACTTCCCAAGCCTCCAATAGCCTCAAATGCCAGAGTCCATAGACAATATCATGTCTAGGTGTGTCAGCGTTCCCTAAGGACCTCAAGGATCTCGGGCAGTGCT